AAGGCATGGAAAACCCCTTTTCTGGCATTCCGGTGACGAACGTTCTTGTATTACTAAGACTTTATCATTTGATGCCAAATGTCTGTCAAAGGGCCTTGTTTAAGCAGCCTATTTACTCAGGATCCGAGCAAAACAAAGATTCATATGCATATTGCTTAGCCTGTCTAAATTAGCTATTTCATATTCACCCCACTGCCCACCTCTCATCGCCCCTCAAACAGGATTTTCAGCTCAAGCCTCGTTATACATGAACAGACACGTTTAGCTTTAAGAATAAAATAACATTCAAACAGTTCTTTGTTGAATTGGTTTGATATTTTTTCTAAGTAAGACAATTTATAATTCATCACAATATACAATGAAACCCCAAAACAATACGATACCCTGATGATGTTTTATCAAATTCGAAATTAGCAAGTTAACATGACAAAGAATGAAGACATTTTTTACGCTCTTCGCGAAAAGCTTCAGTGTTCAGAGCAACTTCCACTAGCAAGTTTATGCTGCTAAAAGCATCGAAAGCGGCTTGTTCAATGTCTTCGTCCTCTCCTGTGGAGGAGGGTGGCGAGGGTTGTGCCTCTAGACTGTCCTTGGAAAACTGATACGAGTCCGATCTATCAATCTCATAATAGTCTAAGTTACGTGTTTCAAAGTCACAAATTGGACTCGATATTAAAGACTCTCTTTCTTCATCAGAATAGGACTTYTCGTAATCCTTTGATATTTCAGATACACTTCTTTGAAACGCAGAGCCGTGGCCTTTCATATTAGCCCTTCTAGTGATAGTATAGTTGCTTGGGTCTCGGCCCTCTCGCCGTATCATGTCGGGCAGTATCCGTCTTCTTGCATTGATAAACCAATTACAGACTTGAAGCACTGATAGGTTAGCCGCCTTTGAGAGATATTGCTTTTCTGCTTCCGAAGGATATGCATTAAATCTGTGCTCCCACAGCCATAAACGTAAAACATTGACAGAGTCTTTAGGAAGGTTGCCTCTACGTCGTTTTGGGCTCGATTGGACACGTGAACGATGTGTTTCAGTTTCCTCTCTGTCACTGTCGACATCATCTCCTGAAAATAACAAAACCAATTAAAACTTATTAGAAGCAATACTTTTGATTAGTCTACAACTGCGTCTAAGTCAAAAAAGACTTGGTAACTCTTGAAGACTACAATATTCAGTGTCTATTGATCTCCAGTCAAAAGAGCTGTCATCAATTCGCTGGAGCAGTTCAAATCACGACAGAAACTTGTTGTTTAGAGATGTAATCCCCTGCTCACTTTGTAAGGCACAACGCACGTTTTGCTCCCAAAAGAACTACACAATAACACTAATAACAATCCTGAAAGTATCCTAACAAGTTAAAGGAACCAATGCTGTAGCATTCATACTCCATTCATTTTAGATGCGTTGTACATTTGAACGGTTCGATGGAATGACAGTAATTCGCAGTCTTACCGTATCTCTTGCTTCGATTCGTGCGTGCTGAGTGAGGAGGCATGCTTCTGGTTACTGTACACTTCCTCTAAGTTGTTGTTTTTCTAGACGAAGGCAAGTTTCTATGAAGACTCTAAGACCACAACAACTAGTGTTTGCGAAACCTGCACCGAAGCCGAACAGACTTTGACACTAATGACAGATGAAAGCGTGTATGCAGCGGTGCGTTGCCCTGTGTTTGTGTAATTTACAATGTATTGCTGGACGCTGATTGGCTACTTTTGACAATCTTTAAATGAGGCTCGCATTTCATTGGCTTCCTAGCCAAACTGGGATATTTTCCACGTGGAACTTTTATATACGATGCTTGTATTTACTCCATTTTACACTTTTTATCCGCCTTTTAAAGGTGATAATTCTTTGGTTGGATGTTATAGATATTCCGAGACGTCTCACTTGATTTYGTACGTGGTGTTCTAATGGCGCAAAAAACAGATTAAGGAATTGAAAGCAACTGAACAAGGCAGCAATTAAAATTTTGCTCTTGGCTTTTTCTATCAATTTTGAATGACATAATTTATGTTGGTAACAGTGTTTTTTGAGATAAACGCTGGGAACTATTTTGATAAGTTTGGTRGAAAAAATAGGGACTTTGGAGAGAGTGAACCGTGAATCTATTATAAAACTAGAATAGTCTGAAATTTAATCGTCTTCCAAAGCTAAAGCTGTCAGAACTTGAATTTGAAAAATGATTTCTAGTTACGAGAGGTAATTTTGAAGGCTTTTTCGTGGTTTCCACAGTAACGACAGTGTGTGCAATGCACGCCTATCAGCGTAAAGATGCTTTCAATTGATTTATATATGCAAGCAAGGTTTTTATGAAGAGAACAAAAAATATCATCCACCCGTACGAAAATTGTAATCTCTCTTGTCAACACTATTTCTTTATCAATTCTTTACCATGTCGAAAATAATCATATCCCAAAGTTGTGAAATCAKTGAAATGATTGCTATTGAGCAAGAAAAGASTAGAGTCTAATGTTAGATCATCTGAGCTAACAATTTTTTCCGAGTCTTTTGACAGTTGACTCATGTTTTATTCAAGTTTCCTCCTACGCTTTGTTCAGCATTCTTGACGCTGTTCTTTGACGGGAATTTTTAACCCAACGGCTTAATCACCTCTGAAAGTGTTTGATAACAATCTTATTTCCAACCTCAAAAGTCGACTGTGAATACCAGTTTGCCATATGCTCGAGAGGCAACTGGTAGAAATGACTGCTTGCAAGCACTCAAAATTGGGCAGCACCATGACAATGATTGCCAAGGAGTGGAATTTCTTTCCACTCTCGCAGAATAAAATAAGTTTTGACGAGATAGCGTTAGGGATCTTYGATAAAGCTTTAGCGTCTAAAAACTTGGCAGTGGTTCGGTTTCCCTGGAGTACTAACAACCATACAATTATGTATTTTGAATATAATTACTACCTCATCGAGACCGGATATTGCTTTTCGATATACCCTAACTTGAACTCCACACAGAAGCAGGAAAATCTATAGCAACAGACTAATTAATGGCTCTAGATTCGGGTCTTCAATCGGGCAATATCAATGAAAAATGAAACTCGTAAAATATATTAAGTTCTTTGCGATAAAGTCTTTTTTCGCGTTGACTAAAATAGCAATTTATCTGTTAAAGTCGTAATTGGCTCGCTATGAAATCGATAACTGTGATTTTTAGTATTGTCTGATCTTATCTAATGTCAATATTCCAACTTATGGATAGATTTATGCCTTGTAAGACCCACGGACGTTAAAACATGTGTATCAAAGAAAATTGTTCCTTTTATTTTGACATTTCATGAAAGTTTGACAGGTGACTAGAATGCGTGATGTAGTTAAWATGGCCATCGTTGTCACGTACTTAGGAAGCGTGACAGATGTTTGTTGACAGTCGATGGAGGTCTGGGAACAGCTGAGCTCTGAGCACGTGGTCACGTGCATTCCACCAAAACATGGCGGGCAAAGGGATTGAGAGCTTGCCGTTAGACATWGAAAACCGATCGAATTCTCCCAATGGAGATAGCTCTGGAAGCACAGGAAGGTACATATTAAACAATTCAATTGATTCTTTAGAGTTTGATYTTGTTGTTGAATATTTTTTTTTGTTTTACAATGGTCATTGCAGCATCGAGGAAGAGACACCTCTGCCTCCACCCTCGCCAATGAAACCAAAGTCTAGCAATGTAATGGTATTCACCAGAAGCAACAAAACTGTTTACACTGCAGGTGARAGAGATCTACATAACACTAAAATATGGCGATAACTTATCAGTTCAATAGTCTAGTTATAATTAGGAGTASTAGTAAGGTGTGTGATGTGTCAGCTGATATACTGCATCTAATTATCTAGAATAGTAATGATATTGACTACCTATCCATGTGCAAATCAAGCAATCCTTCTCATCAAAATTAGCCAAGTTATATAAAAGTTTTTTAGTTAAACAACAAGTTCATTTAAAAATCAACTAGAACCACTTTCATTGTACCATGTTTCACTAGGTGTAGATTTCGCATTTGCATTTTTGTTCATGAAAAACTATATTACTGGTTTACTAAACATTTTTGAATGATGGATGTCTTAAAAAACTTTAGACATTAATTGAATTGGTAAAGTATCTGGCAGAGCTAAGTTACAAAGTTTCACATTTCTCAGTATTTTGCTTGAGAATATTGTGCTTWAAACAAAGAAATAAGACAATTTGTATGGGGTATCCATAATAATACATTTTCAAATGTGAAGATATTATTTCTTTGTGTGCAGGAATACCTGGTATTTCATTGAAGTTCATGTTATAAAACTAGATACATGTATTCCATGCACATTCAGGAATTGGCACATTTTAACTTGAACTTATAACATGAACTTATACCTCTCGAGTTACAATGTAATAAGCAAAAGGGAAGATGCAAGGAGTTATGTAAAGTGTGATTAAATGAATCTTATGACCTAAGGAGAATCAATATTCAAAACTTAGTTGATGACAGATCTAAATTAATGAATGAAGAAACAGTAAAAAAAAATATAGCAATCCAAATGATAATAAATATCTGATAATAATTGATAAATAATAAATTCAAAATTCTTGTTTGAACAGAATTTAAAACATTCTTTCACCTCTTAGTTGTAATGACTTCTTATTTTTGAAGGTACAATTATAATGAATATCAGTCAGACCATTATGCATAACTGATATTATAATTAACTGACATAATATTAACAACATTATTTTCTATAATCCTTGATATTTAGTCATCCCACCAGCCAAAGTACTCTTTTTGAAATGCTTTGTCTTCTATAGGCAGACCCCCTTGGTATAATTCACAAGGTCAGCTCAAGGAAGCATTTGTAATAGGTAAAGCAACATTTCTTATACTATAGTTGCAAAAGTATTAAAACATTTTTATTATATTATGTATAAAACACAGAAAACTTGATGGATGGATTACAGAACCATTTATATATTTCCACACCAATTATTACAGGTCTTTGCGGCGGCAGTGCTTCAGGTAAAACGACAGTTGCAACTAAGATTATAGAAGCCCTTGACGTACCATGGGTTAGCATGTTATCATTGGATTCCTTTTACAAGGTACTTATGATATGAAAAATAGATAGTAATTTGTGTATAACATATATGTATAGTGGATGAAAAATAATTAACAATTAGACCTCGAGGTCGAGTGGACTACGAGCTAATAGCCCATGAGGCCGAGTCCGCGAGGCCGAATGGGCTATTAGCTCGTAGTCCATGAGGCCTAGAGGTCTAATTGTTTTAGTATAAACATACTAATCGGTCAAATAATGAAAACAAATTGAAATATCCTTAAAATAATTTATAATTCATTTATTTTGATTTTCCCGCGAGTGGTCTATCACAAATTAGACCATTAGTAGAGTAGCCAATCACAGCGCAGTATGAGTGATAGACCATAAGTATGTTTATACTAATGATTATTATGTCAAAGTTCAGTCATTTATTCATTTATTCAGGTCTTGACAAAGGAACAGCATGAGTTAGCGAATAAGAATGAATACAACTTTGATCATCCTGGTATGGAAGTACTTTAATAAATGTTTTATTACATTAATAATAGTAATGATGATGATGATGACAATTGATAAAACTGCAACTTATTGTTATTTCCTTTGGTATGCACAAGTCACCCTTTTTGTAAATAAAAAAAAATGTGGCTATACTTTATTTATGGTAAAGTCATTCCAAATGAATATMAAGTCAGTTTCTGATGTTTTTTTGATTGTGAAGGACATCACATCTCTTTTGTCCTTGCTAGATATATATTATATTATGTATTATTAGAGCGGATTTCGTATGAGTGGGACACCGTTACCGCACGGTTACCGCACAGTTACCGAACCTGGCCTGCACAATTTTGGTGAATCAATGGGGCACTAGAATTTGGTTACAGTACGATTACGGTCACAGTACAGTACCGTCCGTTTCCCACTCATACGAAATCCGCTCTATTATCCACTAATTACTGTTGATGTACAGTGTATTAGACTAATACTGCAATAGCTTTTTTCTGAAATTGTACATCATTTTATGGACTTCATCTTTGTTTTTATTTTATAATTGAAATCCACTATTTCTATAGGGTTTATGCCAGCTTGGTTATTATTTATCCTGCACATGTAGATGTAATTTTAAGGCACTTGTCTTTGTGTTTTTAATGCATGTTTATCCATGTAAAATCCTCTACATTGTTGATGTTTTGAGTCATGGAAAGCTGAGCATTCTTTGAGCTGTAATGCAGTTTAATTGTTTTTATGATGATGCTCCTTCACCTTGGAATTCAATGCTATTTTTGATCAAGAAAACTTTTYTTGCTCCAAAATAAAGTTAAATTCCAATGATGTATTTAAAGAATATATGGTTCCCTAAATCTCAGTAATCTTCTCACTTCAATTTACATGGTACAGAACATAACACACTTATCCAGGAGTCATGGACGAGTGGTTTTGTACTGCCTGGTATAAATTATTATAAGTAAACATAGTAAAGAGACATGGCAGACCTTGGAATCTGACAACTTACATAGATACACAATTATTTATTATAACATGCTTTATTTTAGCAATGGTCCACAGTGAAGTGTAAATTATGAACAAAATATTGAGAATTCTTTATCAAACCATTAATAATTCTCAAGGTAAACAATTGATAATCATTAATCTGCATATAAGCAAGAGATTTGAACTTGAATGTGAACTTAAAAATAATATTTTTGTCTTGAGATCTTTAGCTGAATAAGCTGTTTAATTGATGTTGGAATTTGACAAGGGATATATATTATTTGCAGGCAATCTGTATGAGGTTTAAAACAGATCTCCCAGTGTCTTGATCTCTCACTAGTTCCAGAGGTTCAATTTTTTTCTATTTACTACTGTTTTTGTCCACGTGAAGGACCATTTATCGAGCTTATAATGACAAATTAAAACCTTGTCCATATAACATGAATGATTAATAAATAATTTCCACGGTCATTGAGCTGGGGTAAATATTCTAAGTAACCATACTAGTAAAAATCTAGTAATTTTTTTTTTATCAGGCCAAACATTTAATAGTTTATATTTCAAGTAAGTTTAATGTGATATTCAAATTTGCTTAAATGAATTTTCTATCTGTGATTTTAATAAAAATTGCCATGTATTTAGATAACATTAAATCCTTTTGCATTATATGTTTTGTTCCCACACACACAGYGAAGACTTTTATTTTGATTTGTGACAGTAAAATACTTTTTATGAAGAACAGTAACCTAGGTTCCCCKTGTTTGTCTTCAGGCTGTTTAATTTAGGAGTGTAATATCTCACTCATTTCYCAGAAAATCTTAATCTTGTTTTGTTATTATATGTGCTTTTACCAAACTCTTGAATTGTTCATTTTTYCACCATACTGTTTCTAACTTGTATTCATTGACATTTATTCCTGTTTTCCAGCATAGTTTATTTTTTCTGTCAAAATTTTGACTGCTATGGTAACCAAAGGGATGACAAGCAAAACGTCTCATCATTTTCTTTGATTGAATTTCTTTTTGATTTTCATTTCGATGACTTTTTGTTCTGATTACCAAAATTCTTTGAACAATATTTTCAGCTATTGTATTTTTATGATTCTACACCTATATTGATTGCTTTCTAAGCCGTGAAGTATGAAACAGTGATTGGTTGAGCAGTGAAAATTTGTCATCCTAGAGAAATATTAAATAAAGAATTCTTAATTTGACAAGGTGTTTGATGGGTTACAAATTTGTTAAAAATTAAAAATGATGCCAACCAAATGCTGCAAATGTTATGGTGTAGCTATATGAGTATTGAATAACTCATCTTTTAAGTTATCAATTGAAAGTGAAGTTATTTACATGTGCATGTAGATATAAATATGAGCTTCAATTTGTTTTTGACTAGTAAAATGTTTTTAGATGATTCTTAAAACATTCACAAACAAATAACTGAAGTTATCTATTGATCTTGGATTTCAAATGAGTTTTCTTCCCTTCAGGCAATCTAGATTTGTATCTTTGTCCTTTCCTGTTGAGATTTGGTGATCACCCTCTTCTTTGACTCKCAAAACTAAAATTTCTCYAATCTGCATCTGATAACTATCATCAAGGAGTGAAAGTTAGCAAATAGATCCTTGTATTTTGGTGTACTTGATGGCTCAAGGCTGTCGCAGCTGTAAATGTGTYGATAAAACAGGCAAAGAAGTGCAGAACAAAAGCAGTATAGAGTATATCCATGTGTTGTWTGTATGGTTTAATTGATTTTTTGTGTTATTCAATAAAATGATGATGGCTGTTTTACTGGTAGTGGTCAACATGCATTATAAATTTTCTAGGGTGTTTTAAGGGTGTTTTATCGGATATTTACGTTTTTTGGGCTGAATAGCCCATTAAATGTGTGCATTAAAGTTTTTTTAAGCTGTATGTTTGATGATTTTTTGCTTAGCTTATAGTTTATAATTGTTATTTTCTGGCTTCTGAGAGTAGAAAGATGTTAAATCATAATTATTATGTATGTCTAGATTTTTTTCTGCTCATAAATTTCAATGTTCACATTTATTGTACAGCCAAACTTTGTTTTAATTTAWTATTTAATACCTCTGACTATGGAGAGCAGAACGCTGTCAAGTCAAGTGTGTTTGGAAACTCTAAAATAAACATAGTTATCAACCAACTGAAGTTAACAAACCATGATTATATCTTAATATAGATTCTAAAAAATTGGATATTTTTCATTGGTGTGGTAAACCATTGTTTTTTATGTTTTTTGTTTTGTTTTACTTTTTGTTTTATTTGGTTTGATACTTTACAGTCCAGACATACTCAATTTACACATAATTATATATCTAATATTTTCATGAGATGGATGCACAATAATCACAATATCCATGTCCAGTTGTTGTTGTTGTTTATATGTAAAGTAATTCAACATTGAATTAAATATAGAATAAATGTAGATAATTCAAATACCAGACAAAAATACATTCAAGATGCTGTGCTAATATTCATTCAATTCATTGTACAAAATGCCTTTGTTAATGGCTCAAAGTTAATTCTTTTTTTATGGGAATTTTCTCATTTTTCTGGGTTCCATAGAAACTCTAGCCTCACTAGAACTGTGTTATTTTGCTATGGCTACAACTGACTAAAGGTCTGCTGGTTTTGTCAGATTTTTGCTAGCCTTGCAAAACTCTTAGTCTTTACTTTGTATAGTGTAAATGTGAAAATAGTGTAATCATTGATTTTTGTTTTTATTGATAAAGTTYAAATAAATGTGTCTTGAGTTTGAGTTAGTTATAAATTTGTGTTAAGCCTCCAGCATTGAAGTTTTTAAAAAAAAGATCACAGAGAACATGTAATTTCCTGACCTCCCGGCCAATAATCCTCTGTTGAGGGGCGGCCGTATTGGAAAATAAATAAATAATAAAACAGTGAGTGCATTGCAGATTCTTTTGATAGATTAATTTTATTTTGTAACCCAATCATAAGCTTAATGTTCTGATCAACGACTGGATCTATAACCAGTTTGCGATAAAGTATTGATAAAGTATTTTTTCTATTAATTCTAGATGCCTTTGATGCGGCTCTCTGTGCTAAAATTTTAAAAAGATTAAAGAAAGGGAAAAGTGTCCAGGTAAAAGGATAGGTTTAATTTTTACAGTATTATCAATGCTTTACAGTTTGTTTCAAATGATATGATATAATTTTTGATGGTTAAATTATTTCAGAAAATGGAGCTAAATCATGAAGATGATATTTACCGTCCATGTAGTCTGGATTATTACTCTACTGTTCATTGGTTGATACTGTATTTGTTCCCTTTAATRTAGATTCCAGTCTATGATTTCAAAACACACAGTAGAACAGCAGAGAGGGTAAGATAGTTGACAGCAATAATAATGATGTCAGATGATGATGATAGTWATRATGATGATTGTTTGTGTAATCAARAAAARGCCAATTTTTGCATGAATGATAYCRTYTTGATRYCCAAAATAAAATGATTTCTTTGTTTTATTTACAGAAAGATGTGTATGGAGCTAATGTGATCATTTTTGAAGGAATCATGGCTTTTGCGTATAAAGATCTTAGAGATGTAAGTCCACTAGAAATAGAATTTAATAGCAATCTTCACATGATCTGCTCAACCATTGAATTTTATCAATCTTTTTGTACTTGTCCTCTGTAGTTAATGGATATGAAAGTATTTGTTGATACTGATCCTGATATCCGACTAGCAAGACGGTGGGTACTACCGTGTATCATACTGCATATACCATAAACCACATCACACTACAGCACTCCACATCAACTTTGACTTCTTTTCTATTTTTTCAATACAGATTAAAAAGAGACATCACTGAAAGAAATCGTGAACTGTCTGGTGTGCTTCAACAGTATAGCAAGTTTGTTAAACCTGTAAGTCTTCTTTCTGTGTTACTTCTGAACCTTTCACCTCAACTAGGTAAATTGCAATACATTGTGGTATCAGTTTCAGAGTTGAACTCCGTCATGCTCTGTTTTGTCTCAAACATATCCTACAATGCATTGCATATGCAGTATATGAGGTCAGAGGTCTGTTGTCATGTGTTTTACTGTGATAACGGGAATCAAAATTTTTAATTTCAACATACAGTTTGTTTCCATTATTTTTCTGATATTTTCTGGCTCTCGCTTTCTTGGCGGGTGAGAAAAGTAGATCTGTTCCCAGTGTAGAGTTCTTGTTGTTAAAGTTTCTTTTCTACATTTATCATCAGTTAGATTTAGATTTGCCTAGTTTACTTTCTGTTAGTTTCAGTGTTTCTCTGTCGTCTGTCAATAACTAGAACTAGAAATTTGTCTCCTTCTAATTCGTTATCCTTTTTATTAGTCTAATGATTGAATTTCCCTACATTTCTGGTTCAACATGTATACTAATTGCTTAATTGTGTAGGCATTTGACCAGCACATTGCACCTACTGTAAATTATGCTGACATAGTTGTACCAAGAGGTAAGTTAGTGCACAGTATTACACACCAGAAACAAACCACGATATTGACATGTGATGTTGTGTTGACCATCAGGGGGTGAAAATGATGTTGCTATTGATCTTATTGTAAGACACGTGAAGACACAACTTGAGCAGGTACGACTTAGTAAACAAATATAGTAATACAAGAAGAGGCTCCAAGCCATGTGGGACGAATTATACGCGAGCATGCGCACTGAGTATAGAATTACTAGCCAAGAGACGATTGATTGAACTGATGTATAGATTAATTCATGCATTTGAGTTTAAAAGAGTGCTGGAATTGACTTTGTGAAAAAATGAATGGATGATTAAATTGATAAAACTAATGACATTTTTGTGTTGTTTTACAGAGGGGATTCAATTTCAGGTAAGTTCTTTTACCGATTTTATGTTTAAAATTTCAAACTTCTAACTAAAACACTCGTTATAGATCTCGATTAGTATCTGCGCATCATGGTCAGCCGTTACCAAGTAGTTTAAATCTAGTAGAAAATACACCACAAGTCAAAGGAATTCACACAATTATCAGGTTCGTACTAATATAACAGAATCAAGTTTTACGGATGTTTATAAGTACAATTAGTAGAACTCTTCCGTTTTAGACATAGAGGATATTACGGACAGTCTTTTTAGGTTCTCTCTTATTAGTTAAATTATATTGGCCGATTCCCGCTGCCCGTAGATGTCCGGTAAATTGGGGTTTTACTGTTCTTTACACATCAGAGATTTGACATAAAATTTAGCTATGAACGTTCATTTTTATAGAACATCAAAAATTGAATTATGAAATACCAAGTACTTAACATGATTTGGAAGTTGTGAAAACATGATTTGACATTGATGTGACAAACAGTGAAATACAATGACAAATGAAAATTAATGAAATAAAGCAACGCTTGTATTTCTGTTAGAGCACTCTCACGGAATCCATGGAACAAAAGCTAAAATATCGTTAATTAGGCAGTGGAAACAAAAGCAGTAACTGAGTTGTTTCGAGTGTTCTTTAGTATTGGAAATACAGCTAATGTATGTTCAATATTGGTGTGTTTAGTAAAACATTTAATCCAAAAGCTGCAAAATCATTAACTCTATTTAGAGTGATCACATACCACTCCTCGCCCCCAACCCCCCACGTATGAGTATAGTAAAGCCCTCAACTAGAATAATGATCGTTCTCTTTTTATGTGAAACAGGGACCATAAAACAAGTCGAGATGACTTTATATTCTACTCCAAGAGATTGATGAGAATTCTCATCGAACATGCTTTGTCCTTACTGCCATTCAAGGTGAGATCACGTGGTTGTTATTAATATTAAAGAGGGTCACGTGATAATGTGTGTTTGACAACTCAAGAAGCTGTCAAAATAAGTAAAAGTAAATGTTTCATAATGACAATTGAATATTTTGTTCTTTTTGTTCTCTTGATATAACCTGTTTTATTTTGTGTTTTGTTCTCATTAAAACGCCTTTACGAGAATTTTGTTTTGTAAACAATATGGTATATTTTCATGAAAATAACAGTAAGCGAATGAATCTTTAATATTAAGGTTGTGAAGCTCTGATGTTGGAACTTTTTCATTTTTTCGTCACTTGCGCAAGTTACTTTTTCTATAATGTTAAATTTGAAACGAAACTAGTTTTAAAAGTTGCCATTTCATTCAGTTTATCTTTTGTTTCAAGATTATGTCGAACTTGTTGACTTTAAAATTGCTTTTTCATTCAGTCATTGAGTTTGGCTTCTTTTTGAAGGAGGATTTTATTGAGCTTCTCTCTGGTTTGAAAGCCTTTATAGACTTGTATTCAACGAGCAAAATTTACGATAATTCCGATAAAGTAATTTTAATCAGCTTAGTATTTTTTTTTAAAGTTAAGTTGATGCTAAGAATCTGTCTCGTATGCCTTTTTATATATAGCGATTAGAAATGTTGAATACTACAGAATACTTCGAGATATGCAATAAAATAAAGTCCACTTTTAGGACTGAAATGCTCTTAAAAATCGAAAAGTGTTCAGTTGTCTTAGCTGACATAAGGCGGGTAATTTATGTTTTCCATTCTGTGCAGTAACACTTTACCGTATAAATTGAGTGTGTTTTCAAAAAGTCAACTGGTTTTGGTATTTAAATGGTGTTAATTTGAACGAAAAGAGACTTATAAACGCCATGCCATCGTCTTGTGGCTTGATTGTCGTGAGAGTCTAACTGTTAAGCACCTCTTGAGGTAGCTATTGATTCTAAAACACGTTCCCAAAGCGTTTTCACCCTCTTACGAAATGAGTTAAAAAAGATCACTTATTGGATGTACTCTTCAATGTTATTTCATTTCTTGTTTTTTCTAATCGTTTTTTGTGATGCTGTTCCAGTATTTTGTGTTTGTGTGTGTTAATATGTAGAACTCTTAAAGTTGTTTCCCTGTCAAGTTGAGTTTGACAGCCACAAACACGTGGTTTGTATTCAAATGACACATTGAATTCACTCGTTTCACAGCTGCAAACTCAATGTCAAGACAAAAGCAGAAAAGATAGTTTTAACTGTACTTTACAATGCTTTGTCTTATTGTATTAACAATATACCGTAATTGGCCTTGCGAACATTATTATGAAATGCTTCCTGACCAACACACACTACCGCTCCTTTACTGCCATTTTACTTCTCGTGTACTGTAATGACTTGCTAAAATGACAATACATCATTTGGGGACAGAAATGAGGAAAGAAACGTGTCATTCAAAGATGTTCAAGTTTCCCGATAACACTGGAAACGATGCGCTATTGGCAGAGCGAAAATGATTGTTTTCACTTCTAAAATTAATTGAAACGTTTTATAAAGACTTTGTAATGTGTTTTACAAACTGCAAACAAACGTAGAAACCTTTCTTTGATATATAGATAATGTATTTTTCGTTGTTAAAATTGCAGTTTTAGAAAGGTAATTTCAGCTGTTAAGTTTGTTTGCCCAGTTGGTCACTCTTTGGCTGAACGTCCTAGTTTTTCTCTATTCAGGAAAATATAGTTGAAAAGTTTGCTTTCGTTGGTAAATATTGATAGTTTTGTGCGTTTGAGAAATCACAGTTGCAATTAGTCTTGATTCAGGTCTACAGTTTCACGTTGAGTCGAAAAGGTTGTTATTACTTGGGTGTTTTTGGACTATAAAAGATTTTGCAATTAAGAAGGATTATATCAAGGCTTTTTTTTTCTTTTTCATTGGCAACGTTCATCGAAAGCTGCGTTATTTCGTGTCGCAAACTACCTTTTAATTACATTCGCTTTAGGCTAAAAATGTTGAACGTCTTTTCTGAAATAAGACCCCAGTTACAATAAGATAAAGGATAGAAATGTTTGTCTTTTTTATGAGTGGAAACTGAAAGTTTGACAGCCACAGAAACAACAACTAATTCTATGCTTTCTGCAAACATCATTAAAATCGTTGTTTCTCTTAGGTCTATTTTCATGGCAATCACCAATAATCACAAGGAACAAGATTAAACAAGAATGAAATTTTACTTAACGAATTCGTTTCTATGGTGCTTTTTATGTTCCATAAGTATGAACAGCGATTGATTCCCGAAAATTACAGTCAAAACATATCAATGAAGCAATTAAATATCAGCATATGAAGTAACAAAAAAACGATTTTCTCTGTGTTGTCAAACTACAATTTGCTATTTGTCAGGCGGAGTAGCTTTAGATATAAATGGGAAAGCAGTAGTATACTGTTTAGTCGACAAAATGTCATATAAATGTCAAAAATAGTCGGCTCTTTTAGTCCTATAACTGGTTTAGTTGGTTCCAGCACGATCTTTACTGAATTTTTCATGATTTACAAGTCAATATGCACGTGTAGATTGCATGGCTTTCGCTCCTGCGGAGCAGAGCTGCACGAAATATCATCTAAATTTCTTTTAAGTGCTTTATAACTCCGAGTGAATCAATTATCACTAGTTTTAGCAGTCTTGTAATGTAAGTGTGCTGTTTTACAAGACTCGTTGTGTTATTATATCTAAGCGCTCTTTTCCCTTTTAGGCGCGCGCGTCAATTGTTAAAGGCTGATTTACACGGCAAGATTGTCTCGTGCGATTTGTAGTATACGACTTGAATCGCGCAGTGTAAATGCCCCTACGACTTGTCTACAACAGTCGTACGCAACCTACGACTTGTAGTAGGCTTTTGAACCACTGCTTAAAATCCTACGACTTGTAGTAGGAAAATCGTATACTACAAGTCGCGCGCGACAAATCGTACCGTGTAAATCAGCCTTTTAGTTATTTGCGTGTTTGGCTTGACATATTCGACGCCAGGATGTGCGTATCTCAAGCCATAGTGTGTAGTTATTCTTGTCTCAATATGTCTCTAACGGAAAAATAAACCCTTACACTATAAAAGCGGTGAATGTTAGAATATTTCACCTTCATTTATTCGTGCATTCTTTTTTCATTCGCTTGTTCATTCATTTCAGTTTATTTAATTATTCATTTTAGTTTATGTTCATAAAAACTCTATTTCTTAGCGAATTTTCACAAAAAAATGTGTGAAAATCTACCTGAGTGGAACTTTGAGACAAAATTATTGCCAGTTTTGCCTGGCACCGTTGATATCTGTGACGTCTAACGATGCATCGTTATGTCTTTCAGTCATTAACTGTCACAACTCAAGGAGGCAATTCGTACAACGGGGAGAAATTCGCAGGCAAAAGGGTTAGTAAAGCTGTAGTAGCGAGAATGAAGTCGAGTCTATTGGGGGTAGTTATAAATACCGTTCTGTCAGCCTTATCGTCCGTGAACTCAACCTATAACACTGTCATAGCCCAGACTGTTTTTCTAGACACTTCCGAGTATGTAGGAATATAGTATATCTTGAAATGACTTGTTTACAACACGTGGTGTGAAGCGAAATCACTACACTAAACGCGCCTACTACAAGAAGGAATGTGTTGGCATGAAGGAGTGTATATGGAAGACTCGCTGCTGGCCGAGACTTAACTATCCCCTCGATCCCCCGTAAGGTTGCAAACTCGCATGTGAACACTTCTTGTAGTCTATATAGTATTTCATCTATACAAGCCGTTCTTGTCAAATCAACAAGCCCTTACTCTTCCCTATGGGAACAAAC